CAGGGGCCAGCCAGGACCCAGGTAGTTCAAACGCCATTTTCAAAGGCCAGAGATAGTGAGTGAGCACCACCCTATGCAACTTGCAGGCAGGGCAAATAAGAGGAATCTGGGAAACAGTGAAGCTGTCTACTTTTCTTTTAAAAAAAAATAAGAAAATGCCAAGTTCTGGTCTGGATGTACACAAATCATGAAGTTCTTTTCCACACACACCACCCCTGCATCTTTCAGTTCCCTTTAGTGCTCTCAGCTGACCTCCTCACCCCTCTAGCCAGCATGAAGCTCTTTTTGTGCACTCCTTCTGCACATCTGTTCTTAGGAAGAGCCAAGGCTTGTTGACACTGAGGTGCAAATGACTTGCAGGATAGTGTTGTCATTTAGTGGATTTGGATTATATTTACAGTAGACTGAATCTCAGACCAAGGAACACATTTTGAATTGTAGCGTGAGGCCCCAGCTTGGCCAGCTGAAAGGACCCAGTGGAAAGGAGTCACGGAAGCTTCTGCCAGTGCCTGCTGGACGGCTTCAGGGTTCTTCGGGCTTGTTTCTGCTCCTGCCACCCGGGCGCCTCTCAAGAACTCTCCTGGTTTCCCTGCCTGTGTAGGCTCCCCACCCTGGCTTCCCTATCTCTGCCTTGGACTCGGGGTTTCTCAGCACTGGTTGTGAAGTGGGTCTTGGCCTCACACTAGGTTCACCATTGCAGCACCAGCTCATCCTCACGCTGTGATGGTGGACATGGGGCAGCTCGCCTGTGCCCTGGGCTGGCGTGTTCCAAGGTGGGCCGGTTCGCCTAGCCTCGGCTCATCCAGGAAAGAGATTGGACGGGGCTTTTGGGGAGTCATTGAGTTCCTGAGAAATAAGTATTTTCTTACAGGATACTTGCTATATGGTCCTGGAAGCTGAGTTCAAATCCTGGGCTGCCATTTAATAGTGGGAAGACCTAGCACCAAACACTTTAAACCCTTTGTGCCTCAGTTTCTTTGTTTGTATATTGGGAATAATAATGGTACATATCTCAAGTGGGTGGGCTGGAGTTGAGTTAATTAATACATGTAGAGCACTTAACAGGGGCTGGCACCATGTAAGTGCTCAGTTATACTCTACTGTCATCGTGTTCTTCCTCCTCCTCCTCCTCCTCTTCTTCTTCTTCTTTATCCTCACCTATCAACCTCTACACATTGTCCTCTGTTAGAAAAACTAACCCTAACTGATTTTGGAATAAAAGTTTCTGTAGTTATTCAGGGACTTCATGTAGTTATTCTCAGATACAAGGCAGAATAAAAGTAGAAAGATGAGGGTTGCTCAAATTTTAATTTTGATGGATATCTACAGTGGTGACATAATGTTTTCAAAGACAATGAATAGTCAAAAGACTTAAATGACATTTCCTCGAAGAGAATATGCACATGTCTAACAAGCACATAGAAAGATGCTCAGCCTCCAGATGTCCCATAAATCGTTAGGAAAACACAAGTGAAAACCACAATGAAATACCACTCCACACCCATTAGCACGGCTGTTATAGGGTGGGGCAAAAGAAGGTGTACAGTTGTTTGTATGAAAAATAATACAGTAACTGATACATAATAATATAAGAATAAACTTTGTGTTTTGTGTTCTCGCAACTGTAATCCTACTTTTGCCCTACCCTGTATTAAAAAACAGAGAAGAACAAGTGTTGATGTGGATGTGGAGAGACTGGGACCCTTACGCGTTGCTGGTAGGAGGGTTTTCTGCTGTGGAAAACAGAATGGCTGCTCCTCACGAAGTTAAACGTGGAAATACCGTATGACCCAGCAGTTCCATTTCTGGGTTTACACCCAAAACAACCGAAAGCAAAGACTCAAAAAATTTTTGTACACCTATGTTCATAGCATTATTCACAATAGCCAAAATGTGGAAACAACCTAAGTGCCCACTGATGGATGAATGGATAAGCAAAAAGTGGTATATCCATAGAATGGAATATTATTCAGCCTTAAAAGGGAAGAAAATTCTGACACATGCTACAGTGTGGAATAATCTTGAAGACATTATTATGCCAAGTGAAATAAGCCAGTCACAAAAGGACAAATACTGTATTATTCCACTTGTATGAAGTACCTAGAATAGTCAAATTCAGGAAGTAGTCAAAGACAGAGAGTGGAATGATGGGTGCAGGAGCTGAGTGTGAGGGAGGGAGAGAAAAGGAGTGTTTGTTACATTTAATGGGCGCAGAGTGTCAGTTTGGGGAGGTGTAAAGAGTTCTGCAGATGGACAGTTGGTGATATTTGCACAGCAGTGTGAATGGACTTGATATCACTCAACTTTACATTGAAAAGCTGGTTAAAATGGTAAACTGTATTTTTTCTATTTCACCACACACACACAAAGACAATGAATTCGGATAAGCACAATTGGAAGTGAGCACAGGTGGGAAAATTTCATTGATTCTTAGTGGTAAGTCCAGTCATTACCTTCACTCACACATTCACTCGTATTTTCATTGAATGAATGTTGAGAGGAACTTCCATGCGCCAGGTACCATTCATGGTACAGGAATTACAGCAACTGACCAGCAACTTCCTTTGCAATGTCCTTATTCGAGGACGGTTTTTAAGCGGAAGTCAATCAACCAAGGGAACTCTCAACAGAAATGAAGGTGCAATCACTGCCCAAAGGTATAGTGGGTTCCCCATGTCCACTTGTCCTAGTTTGAGGCTGACTCAAGTATGCATGAGTGACCCTGGAGCAAAATGAAGGGCTTGGCATAGAAATAGAAAATACATTTTGCAATGTCTTCAAGCATTCTGGAGGTTGACATTTCATTTTCAGAGTTCAAATGGCCAAAACTTTGTGAAAAGAAAAATTCCAAGAAAATATTTGCAAACAGGTATTCATCAGGTTCTTTTTTGTTTGTTTGTTTGTTTGCTTTGTTCCCCCCCCCCAACTCTAAGCTAGACACTAGGCATTAGAGATCAGAGTTCTTGTCCTCAAAGAGCTCACCATCCAGGTATTTTATTTAAAAAATCAATAACCTTATCACTGTTAAGACATCTGGTGAATCACACATGGGTAGTTCAGAAAGTCACTCACAAATCTGTGTAGTGACATCCTCTTTATTTGCTGAATATTTTTATAGTGTTTATTACGTCAAAGCATCACTCTAAGGATTTTATACATATTTAGTCACTTTATCCCCATAACAACCCCATGAAGAAGATACTCTTTTATGAATGCTGTTTTACAGATGAGGAAACTGAGGCACAAAGCGTTAAATAATTGCATAAGACTATGGCTAACCTGCAGCCACACTAGGCCATCTGGCTTTTAGGTCTAGGTCAGTAAGTACCACGCCATGGGCCTCCCACTCAGCTTTCTGAGTGACAATGAACAGCAAATCACAAAACCCTAAGCACGAATGAGTTGAAAAGAGTGTAGGCTGAGTCCAAACATGGTTCATAAATATTATCTTGCTGGAGGAGGAGGAAAGTTACTGGCTAATTTGTTTTGTGGTTTAAAGACTTAAGTAAATTTTATTGTATTTTTTCACCACAAAAAATTAGTCCTACTATTTACGGCTTCTAAAATAGACAGCTGTACTCATCACTGCTCATAACTTTGTTTAGCTTTAATTAGGCACAGCAATTTAAAGTCATTTGTTTTATATGAGTAACACAGATCTATACACAGCAGTTTTGGTTTATGGCTGTAGAAAACTACCCTCTATGTTAAAATCTGATTTGGATAAAAGGGATTTTTTTTTAAACATGCAGCCAAATTTGGGAACATTTTTATTATCTTCTGAGTCATGGTTGCAGTAGGTGGGGTGGTTGAGAGATCAGATCTAGGTTTAGACACTGCACTAACATTTACTGAGCCTCAGTTTCTTCATCTATGAACTGTCGATGATAGCAGTACCTACCTCATTAGGTGAAATAATACATAAAATATAGGTAAATGGATTACCCTAGTGGCTGGCTTGATGTCACCTGCCAGTAAATGCCTAACATTGTATTAACTGCTGGTTGCCGTGATTCAGAATTTTTATTGCATTTGCCAACCACTGTGATTGCGTCATTCGCTCTGAGATTCTGAAAAGGGGGACAGTGATTCTGTTACTTGTAGACATGGTCCTAGGTGCACTTGGAGCCACCTAGAATTTCAGGGTGTTTTCCACACCTTTCTGTTGCTATGAAATTTCTGTTTCAAAAGGTGCCAAAACAGGCACAAGAAAGTCTGTCTCTGGAATGGTGTATACAGGAAAAAGAGGAAGTGTTCACTGGATTTTTCCTTCCCTTTTCTTCTGAAAAAGAAAAGGGGGGTGTCCATCTGAGTAGGAAATGGGGGCAAAAGAACCTTGTTGTGAGGATCTTTTTATTGTTGGGCTGTTCATTGTTACTGTTTGCTACTGCCATATTTTTTCCTTTTTAAATCATTTTGTCGGAGGATTAATTTTGCCAATAACCCACACATTCCCGCTCCTAAAGTAAACTGTAAGTTCTAAGTAAGCACGAACCGGTTCTGCTGACCCAGAGGGAAATAAAGATCAGAAAAGTTGCCCACTCTAGTGAAACTGGCCCTGGGCCAACAGCTACATCTGGATTCCAGTTTCGCCCTCCCTTGGCTAACACACCCCAGCGTTGTGACCTAAGGGCCAGAAAGGGAATCCTATTATTTTGCAGCGGAGAGGAAAAAGGCACTGGTTCCTCTCCGCCATCATCCCACCCTCCAGGTTTCTCTCCTTCCCACTCAACAGGCCATCCGTGTAAAGCACCAGGGAGATCGCGGGATCCATCCAGGTGGAAATCCCAGGCTGTTTTCCTTGGATAAGCGCCTGGATCGCAGGAGCAGCCTCCGAACTACTATCCTGCATCCAACGCAGGGCTCAACCCTGGCTTGCGACTCTGACTCCACCCTGAGGTCACGCCCATCCCCGCTAGGGCCCGCCCCCAGGCTCCGCAGCGGCCTCCCATTGGTGGAACCGTGCGTCAGTCGGCCGCCACAGCACCTGGGGCGGGAGCGTGGACCGCCACCCCTGGCCCCGATTCTCCCGTGCCCGCCTGCCGCCGGGAAGCTTAACCCGGGCGCCGGCGGGCGGCCGCCGCAACTGAAAGACCCACGGGCCGAGGCTCCGCGCCCGTCCGCGGCGCGCGGCCGGCATGGCGGCGCGGAGGAGCCCCCCGCAGGCGCGGGAGCCAGAACGGTCTAGTACCCTCGCCGCAGGTGGGCCCCGGGCGGGGCGATGGGGCGGGGCGAGGCGGGAGGGGGGGCAGTGGGCAGCCTGGGACGCGCTTTCCTCCGCCTGCAGTCCCCACTCCCGCGGGTTTGGGGTACGAGGCCCGCGCTCTGAGCGGTGGGAGACTCTGGACCCCTGGCCAAGGCGCAGACGGTGACGGGCTGCACCTCCACACCCGCTGCAGGGTTTGGGCATCCGTCGGGGACTGGGGTCGTATCTGAATAAGGAACAATGAATGTCCTCGCCAGGGAGAGCTGTTTGGGTCCAGGCAGCGAGTCATCTGTCTAGGTGGGGAAGACAGGTCCTGAAAAGAGAAAGCCGTCTTGCGGGGTGGGGAGGGGCAAGGTGAGGGGTCCAGGCAGCAGTTGGTGTCGGGCCCTGCCTCCGAGGAGCGGGGTGTCCCCTGCTCGGTGTCCCCTCTGAGAACTTGATTGTTGTCGGAGGGAAGTTGATGGGTTTCGCGCTTTGCTGGCAGAGGATGTGGGCCACACCGTCGCTGCAATCGAGACTCTCTCTACAACAGAAAACTGGCTTCTTAACAAAACTGTCACCAAGGACAAGGCAGCAGCACAGTATGGCACAGGTTGTGAACTAGTCGGATCTCTGAGGTCTGGGGCACACCACCTGTGTCTCTGCGTCTTCACCCTCTGCTTTGGCAGCTGGGTCCTCCCCACCTTAGAAGTGAGGGTTTTTTCCTTGCCATCCTTCAGTTGTGCCTTGGAGTCCTAGCTCCAAGAAGATGAGCATAATTGCTTCTCATCTTTGAACACATTCCCTTTCTGTAACTCTGGTGACCACCCGAGGGGTGTGAGCCCACAGTGAATTTGGGGAGCATGTCTGTTTGCACACACAGAGTTTTGGACTCTAGGTACTGCAGTATTTATGGGAAGTTGGCAGATGCCAGGTCTACTTATTAATTGCCATTCTTGGTTCCCAGCAGGAGTGTTGATCCACACAGAAAATAGTTGGGGGTTTTGCTGCTGGGTGTAGTGGAAGCGGCACCCTCTGAGATCAGGACATGCGTTTTAGACATCGTGTTGCCCAGCACTGCATGCCTACAAGCCACAACCACTCGGGACTTCCATAAGGCCGATCCCTAAGGCCCTTCCACTCTAGAACTCTGTAATTGAGAGTGATCCTCCCACTCTCAAAAGCTTGGAGAATGAACTCATTTTCAAACCTTTCTGCACCTTGGATTATTATGGAATTAGCCAAATACTTCCTGTGGGTGTATTCATTTGAACTTTTTATTAGATTATTTTCTTCCCTTCTCCCTGCTTTATTTTGGCAGAGAAAGCAAAGTTGGAAATGGGGGTAGGGGCACAGCTGGAAAAAGCTGCTCTGGGAGGTGGAAAGGTGCCTGTTCTGGGCTTAACATAATCACCAGGAGTTTTTCCTTCCAATACACCAAGTTCAAGGTGTGCCCACATTGTGAACCCAGCAAGAATTCTTTGTTCCAGCCTGTGGCGTCTGCAGTTTGTGTGCGGTGGTGGAAGAATGTGTTTCAAGGATCAGGTTATGGAAAACTTTTCTCTCCCAAACAACCTCCAGGGACTTAGGAGCATAGTTTCCTTTCTTTGCCAGTGATGTTTTTTTGGGGTGGTGGAGTTTAAAATCACTTGCCAAAGCTAAGATGCCACAGCTTTTTAACCTACCCTAACTCTTTTGGTAAGAGAGAGACCAAGATTTGCTTTTGAGAAAATAGCAAATGATAGCAAGGAATACTTGACAATAAAAAGCAAACAGAATAGCAGGAGAAAACTCGCAGATCGGGCAGAGGTGGACAGAGGTTTTTGGTAGCCATTTTTACTATTTCTTTTTCAGTGAGCTGTGGTTCTTATTTACCATTGCTAACTCACTGTCCACTTGTTTGGTAGAAATGTGAGGGGAGACCCGAGACTCTTGGGTCTTCAGTGATGTTCTTGGGAGCCACAGGACTCTGTGGTGGCCCCCAGGGGCGGAATGCCCAGTGTGGAATGGGAGACCCATCGGCCAGATCCCCCCACTCCAGCTATATGTGGAACACCTCTGCTCCCCATCTCTTGTTTGATATGCTGTTCTAGGTAAGATTTTGTTCAGAGAGAAGGGCCTAATGCTCAACAAAAGTTTAGAAATAATGGTAATGACTAGTGTTTTTGAGTGCTGCTTATGTGTTAGCTCATTTATTGCCTATAAAGTACTGAGAACCGTGCATGGACCACAGTAGGTACCCAGGTTAGCTGCTGTTATTATCATTGCCTTATACATGAGGTAGTTGTTATTTTCAATCCTCTTTTTGGGAAATTGAGTCACATATGAACTGGTACAAAACCCCTCCTTCCAACTTCTTACCCAGACTTTCCTGCTAGTTAAAAAGTGTATTCCTTAATATCATGGGTCCTGTTATTCCAAAGCCACTCAAGGGTGACTGACTGTATGTATGAAGCAGATGCTTCTGACCTGCCATAAGCAGTCCAACCGGTCCCCATGGGGAGTCACAGGTACCACACTAGGTAGGCAGGTGAGTTTACCTGGTGAGTGCTTCTGTGTCAAAGGGAGAGGGCAAATCGGAACCCAGTGGCTGGTCAGCAGCAAGCGCAGTTATGAGGATGGGAGGGCGCAGACATTCCCTCCTCAACACAGGCTGCAAAGGGTGCTTAGAATTGTTTGCTTGTTCTAGAACCTTCTTTTAGTGCTCTCAAAGCTATTGCTGTCAAGGAGCTGAATAAGGAGCAGAGGGGGCCCTGGCTAGGCAGTGTGTGCCAAAGGGGAGAGCTGTGGTTCTTCATGTGCTAGTTGTAACCTTAAAGAGAAATATTTTCCTTCTTTAAAAGACAGTTTGAGGGCTTAGGAAAAAACATTGCAATTAACACACAACAGAATGCTTTAAATGCTCCATAGTTGATATTTTTGCCAGCCTATTTATCCCCACTTTATACTTCTACTTTTAACATTTCTGATAGATAGGTTAAATATCAAATAAAATGTAACTTTTGACACCACATGTTTGAGCTAGGTCAAAATCCTTAATTGGCACAGTTATTGAATTGAAATGACCTTTGCCCTGGAGTGGGTGGGTACTGTCCTGTGTGCCTGTGGCGTCCAGTGTTGTCCCCGCCACAACGGCTGGGCATTTGAGTTCTCTTTGTGGTGCTGGACAGGGAGGCACTGCCCACAGATAGTCGTACGTAACCTTTCCAAGCGCGACACTGACGCGCGGAGTGGTTCCAGAATTTGCTCAAAGTTCCCAGCTAAAGGAAGAGGCGGCAGGATTCAAACTCAGGCAGTGGGATTCTACCTCAGCGGGTTATCTGCCAGCTTCTGTCTCCTGAGACAGCGCAAGCTCGTTCCTGGGAGCGCCCTAGTTCCCCAGGGAACCTCCTCACACTCAGCTGTTCCAAATTAAATTGGGCTATCATCTTTATACCATTGTTGTCGCTCAAGATGAGTCTCAGGTCTGAGGTATAGGTGAAGAGAGATTATGAAAAGTTATCATTATTAAGCCAAAACTTCTACATGCACAGCTCCTTATACATGGCTATTTAGGTCTCTCTGTAACTTTTGGAGGAGTTACTGGACTAGTGAATTTGGCCTTTTTCTCTTGTCCACTTGAATCCTCTGGTAAATACTCAGTCACTTAGCACAATCCTTTCTGAAAATTGAGATTGTGTGCACATTCATTAATTTGTAATTAGTTTAATGGAAGAACACTTAGATGTCACTTCATAGTGAATCAACAGTTTTTGTTTCTGCACTCATTGTGCCGGTGATCTTTTGTTCTAGGCATGCTCCATTTTTCTGCTGTCTCGTGTGACTGGAGCCAGAGTAGACAGGTAGCATCATGTTTAAAATGGACGGATGATGAAACATTCCATGTTCTTTTCTGGGAGACTAAGTACTATTGTCTGTTAGTACTGGGGTTCCCAGGTAATAAACCCAAATTGCAGAAACCATAGCATATAAAATGCTATCCTCAATAAATCCTGAGTTCAGAATTTAATAAAGTCTTTCATCATTGATTTACCAGGGGATTATGACTTTGAGTCTATATGGAATTATTGAGTGATAGATACATAGTAACTTAAAATAACATCAAGTCTTTTTCTGCATATCCTGTTATTGGTTTTTTAATGAATATAGGGTTAGTCTTGTGGGGGATGGGTGATAAAGTAATTGGAAGTCAGTTTCTCAAGAGAGACCTCCCCAGATTGAGAGAGAAGCAGAATCTCATTCAATGTCAAGGGCCAAGAAAAGAGAGGTAGACTGCCCTCTCTCGTCCCCATCACAGTGGGCATGGACTCCCTGCTCTCTCCAGGTGTGGCAGAGACTTAGTGCACACAGACCAGGTCCCAGGTGGCTCAGGAACAGAGGTGGGCTGGGGAGCTGGTGGTGGGAGCTCATCAGGGTGCATGCTTGGAACAATTTGGGTCTCCTTCTCTAAGCCAGGACAAGGAGTATTCCCTGGAGCATTTAATCTCCCAGGTGTAAGAGAAGTGAACTAGCTTCTTTCTTGTCAGGTAAACAGAGAGTGTGTCTGTAGGTCTTAGAGTAACACCTGGCACATCATAGGCACATTTGCTGACTGGTGACAAGAAGGCCTCAGCTCCCCTGTGAGATCTCCAGAGTGACAGGAGAACTGAATGCTCTGTCTTCCAAATCGACTGCTAGGACAGGTCGAAGTGCTGCAGAGGAAGCAGAACGGCTGGTAGGAAAGGGGAAGTGGAAGAGAGGCAAGCCAGTGCCTGCGTGGGCTGAGTATAGTCAGTCACCATCTGGACACGAAGGGCTGGGTGGCTCTGATGGCAGTGGACAAGATCAGCTCTTTGTCATTTGACTTGGCATTTAGAAAATGAACTTGGAGTTCAGTTTGTAGCTAAGGATTAGTTTGGCTGCTCCCCTGGAAACCCAAGTGTAGCCCATGGAATTATTAGTCTAAATGTTGGGTCTCTCCATTTTGCACCTGCAGTGTGGGACACTCAGGCAGGTCGGTTCCTTCCTCTGGAATCTA